CCGTGCGCGCGGCGATGTGAGAGCGGCGGCGCCGGGCCCTGTCCGCCCCCCCGGCCGCGCTCCCTCCGTCCCTCCTCGCCCGCGCCGTCCCCGCGGCTCCCGCCGGCCCTCGCGGGCCGGGCCCCGCGTTATGTCGTGATCCCGGGCGGGCGGCGCTGCTGCTGCTGCTCATGGGGCTGCTCAGGATTATGCTGCCGCCCAAGTTGCAGCTGCTGGCGGTGCTGGTCTTCGGGGTGGCCGTGCTGTTCCTGGAGAACCAGATCCAGAAGCTGGAGGAGTCCCGCGGCAAGCTGGGTGAGCGGCGGCGGGCGCGGCCGGGCGCGGCGCGGGGGGCGGTAGCGCCGGGGGCTGAGGGAGCGCGGCCGGGCTGGGGGAGCCCCGGCGGGCGCCGCTCCCGCCGGCTCCGTGCGCTGCCGTGCCCCAGCGCCGCGGGATCGGTGCGGGCCGGCCGCTCTGCTGAAGGGGCTGTCCGCGGCAGCCTTGGCCTCTGAGTTAATTTGTTTGTTCCGTGAGACCGGGAGACTTGTGAGAGGTCAGCGCTGGGAACGCAAATGTGTCTGTGGTGTCTGAAGGGATTTTGTCAGAAGAGCCGCGGTGCTCACGGCCGTGGGCAGCAGCGGCCGGCCTGCCTGTGCCTCCTCAGGCACCTGGCGAGGGAGGAGAGCAGCAGCCTTGGTGCCGAAACTGAGGCTGGTTCTGCTGCTGCTGCTGCAGCGAATTACCATCTTCACATCTGATTTCTAATTCAGACGTTTTACTAACGCTTGGCACCGTAATGGAAAGCAAGGTGTAAAGGAAAGAAGGCTAAACATATTGCTGCTAATGACAAATAGGTAATTTAACTCTCATTTAATGTAGGATGTTATTTATTGTATTTATAGAGTGTAGTTAGTGATTTCCTAGACTGTTACTGAGCTGTACTTAAGTGAATAGCAATGAACTAGAAATCTCTTGTGTAAAATTTCCTCTACTTTTCCTGCCTTAAAAGGATATTTTTAGAGTAGTATCTGCCTGGTGGGTAACGTCTTACTACTTTGTCTGTTGTATGTACGGCTGCAGAACTTGTAAAGATTTTGCATTGCTTAATTAAGGGTCTCCAGGATGTGAAAAAACACCATTCTCAACCTAGTTTGTTGTGCCTAGGAGTTGTGAAAACAGCACTGAGACTTCTGGTGTATACAAGATAAGGAACTGGTTTGCAAGCATTGTGGATTTGCTTTCTCCTATTATTTGACTATACTAAGATATTTAGATTCTGAACAATAGTTAATAGTGTAAATTTAAGTTTGTAAGTGCACATCGCATTCCTTCTGGTATTAACAGTAGAAGCTGATTTGAGTGATGTGGGAAGTTTAACAATGAGTTTTTAACAGAGTCTACATAACTAAATGTTGAGCTGTATGAATGCTTTTGGGATTTTACTCCACAGAATTTCTTTTCCACTTCACTCTCTCTTAACTGCATATTAGCGATTAGGACCCTGGAAATTGAAGTGGTTGACTGCTTGAGTTGAGAGAGGTCCTTACTCTGCATACTTTTCAAGTGAAAGTTCTTACCAATTATAATCGAGGCATTTTTTTTGCAGGGTCTCAATAACTGTAAACAAACATTTGAAGAAGAAAATGAATGAAATTGGAAGATAAAGAAAGCCAATCTTGTCGTAGTGCTGAAGGTTCAGTGGTATTTTTGTATGCATCTGCTTTGAAGTGGTTCATAGCCATGGCTTCAATGCTGCTGTTGTTGACAGTGTATGTTACTTTAGGGAAATCTACCTCCTGGCATGAAAAGAATAACATAATGCATGTGAGAATAAAGATTTTGCTGGTAAAACTTCTTCCTCCTTAATATATATGCAATGGACATGTTTAACTTACCTATTTAGAGTATTAAAATACTCATAATGCTTTGGAACAAGAATCTAATTACTATCTTCTGCTGATTTTATTTCTTAAGGAGAAGGGAAAACTATTGTGAAGTTTGTTAAAAGTAAGATGGAAAGATTTGCTTTCTGTGCAACTTACTGGTGGCTCTCCAAAACCTGTGGAAGGAAGGGGAAAAGGACTTTCTGCAGCAGCTTTGAACTCGGATTCCAGTTCTCAGTGTGAGACTATGCTTTGTTAAAAAGCTTCTAGCTGTCTGAATGTCTCCCTTATCACATGTTTGGTGTGTATTTTCTGACTAGCAAAGATTAAGATTTCATTACGGCTGTTTTTTTACCATCATGATTGGTTAGATTTCTAGCGAGCTGCATTATGGAAAATGCTTTTCTCCAGATCAAAGTAATTAATTGGCCTAATGCACTTTGAATGCCAATTTTTCTCCCTGCCCCCTAAAAGAATGGTGTGGGTGTGTGTGAAGTGATACTATGATTTGAGGGTAAGGACAAAGTTGCTCTTTTGTGTTTTGAGGGTTTCAGTGGGTGCTTTGTGTCAGAAGTCTCACTGCACAGCGTTTGGGGACTGGGTTTTGAGCTATGCCATGTGTTTGCATTGATATCATATGATAAACTGTCATCTTGGAAAGTTATTGAAAGAGTTAGGCATTGGCTAGGGAAACCAAATGACTTCAGATTTGATAGCAAAATAATTGAGCAGTCTTATCAGCAGTTCTGAAAATGTTCAATTATACTTCCGGACAGAAAGGGCTTTATCCAAATCTTACACATATGAGCAACTCCAGATTCTGTAGTGAACAGCTGGGGGCCTTAATTTCAGTTTAATAACTTAAAATGTCTAGCCTGTAAGGTGAAATTGGAGCATGTTTCTGGGTGAAAAAAAAGAATGTGAACTGTTTTTCTGTAAGACTTTATATGGGTAAACTTGGTCACCCTGGCAGAATTCTTAGTTCAGAAGTATAGGACATATAAGCAAATGACCATCACAAATGCTGCTGCTGCTGCTGATTTTTGTAACAAAAGTGCTATGATCCTATAAAAGGGTATTTGTAAATCTGTGGGCTTTTTCATATGAAAAATAACTTCCTGATTTAAGAAAAATAAATCAAAATATTATTTTTAACTTCTTTGCAGGTCTTTACAAGTAGTTTGTAGTGGTGAGATCACAAGCAGAGTGTGAAGAATTTGAAATAGGTTTTTTTTGGTGAGATTTCTACCTTCAGCTATTAATCTTTCGTATTATTTTCAGGTTTACATGATAAATTAGCATGTTCTCCTGACTAAGCTGTCCCTAATTGCCTGTGAGAACTTTAATGTTTTTATTTAAGCCTGGTGTAGGTATATGCCCATTAGCTCTAGGAATGCACAGCTCTAATAGAGAATATTGCACATGAAAGGCAAATGTTGAGGTTACACTGTTGTTCCTGGAACAGAACAGAAGTAATGTCTGACCGCCCCTTTTGGATTTTGGAAGCCTACAGAGTACAGCTCTGCCTTTGGTATAAATTGACCTAGCATTTAACATGTTTAATGTGTACCATGCCATCCCCTATATTGCCATTATTTGCCAGTATTTGTGATGAGTTGGATCAAAAAAATGATCCAGTTGGATGTAATCCATCCCTATCTTCTCTTACCTCCCCAAGATTTTGTAATTTATTGGTGGGGAGAAGGAAGAGGGAAGTTCATATGTGTTCTAGTTCTTCTGTTAAACTAACAGTGTTTTACAACACCAAGCACTAAAAGCTCTTCAGGTTTGGCCAGGGAAGTGTGAGAAGACAGTGTCTCATTCGAGGACTGAAATCTGTAAGATTGATGAAAGAAGGTGAGGATAGGAGATGGAGAAGGATTGCTGTTTGGTGGGGGGGGAATTAAATAATAATGCTACTTTCTAGCACTTTAGTGATGTTTACATATTGCATTTAGGAAAAATCTGTGTCTGAGAAACACAATATACCGTAACAGGGAAATCATGTTGAAAAACTTCTTATCTGTAATGTCCAAGGGTTTCTTCTGCTAAGTGATGAACAAAATAATGGCTCATATCTGTTAATTCAGCATCTTGAATTCAGCATATAGAAGTCTGTCATTTAAAAGAAATCCTTAATATTTTACTTCTTAATTATTTTTTTTTTTTGTTTAAAAAGACTTAAATAATTTGAAAGGCTAAGGCTCTTTTTGTTAGCCCAGGAAAGAAAAGTTAATTGATGATTTATTGCCAGATTTAAAAAAAAAAAAAAATTAAGGTAGTTTCCTAGCATATATGACCCTTGTTGGGGTGGTATCTTTCTAAGCACTGCATGCCTAATAAACCACTGTTCCCTTGAAGTTAAAGGATTTAACTTTGTAACAATTAAGTCTTATGCTTTATGGACATATAAGATTATATGCTTTTTTGAGATGATGAAATTATAGGCTTTTCATATTTCTTGTATTTAGAAGTTAAAAATCTCCTGTTGATAAGCCTGCCTGTTGCATCTTGTTGGAAAATCCCTCAGAAAACTTACTAAGTTGCCTGTTCTAATATAGCACGCATGTTTCCTTAGCATATTGTTATTTTTGTAATTGAGCATTTATAAAGGGGGACATAGAACATTTATAAAGAGGAGTTTATGATTGTTGGCAGGTCTGGCCACACACAGCTATGCAAATTATTTCCTAGATTTTTTCTAAATATTGCCCTGTTACACAATAGTTATTATTTGCTGCTGAGTAGCCCAAGGCATTCCTTCAGACGGTATTTTATTGTATACTGGGTTTTCTGAAATAAGAACTGTAATTCTGCTTCCCTAGTATGTCTCTATCCAGTGGAACTTTCTTCCGCTTTATCTTGCTGCTTTTATCATACTTTTTCACTTGCTTCCCTCTTACCATTCCCTTTCACCATGCCTCTGCTTGTCCCAGACAGTTTCAGAATAAATTTTAAACTACTCCCATACTATGATTGTACTTCCCATTGAAAACTGTGATATTGAGCAATTGTATGAATTTTATTCTACTTTTTATTTATGTGGTTGTTGTATTTTTATATTCTTTATAACTTTCTGGGGAATAAATGTTGCAGCTGTTGGTATTTTGTTTTCTGTGAAATTGGTAATGTCTAAACTTTGACTAGTATAGAACTGTGCACATTCCCAAGCACACATCAAGGCAGCTCAGACATGCTAATGGGGTCTGTGACTTGATCTCACCCCCTTTTGCTGGTACCCCAACAGCTGGTTCTAACACCTGATTAACATATAACAGATACTCTTAATGCGATAAGATATTCTAAAATACCTTTCCCCTTCTGGAAGGCTGCATGTGAGAAACTGCAGTAATATTGGACCTACTTTGCAGGCATCATGCTTTTAGAGAAATAACTTGGAAAATTGGTGATGTTCTGAGGGCTGTGCCTTTG